TCCAATGTTTTTTGGGATTTGCCAACTACTATCGGATCTTCATCAAAGACTTCTCTCAAGTTGCAGCTCCACTTACACGTTTGACTTGTAAAGACAAACTCCAATGGAATCAAGAAGCGGAAGTTGCTTTTGAATCTTTGAAGACAGCGTTTGTTTCTGCACCAATTTTGTATCGTGTTGATTTTTTCAAAGCATTCTTTATGGAAACAGATGCATCAGACTTTGCTCTGGGTGCGATTTTATCACAAATGGGAATAGATGACAAACTTCATCCAGTAGCCTTTCATTCAAGAAAATTTTCAGCAACAGAAATCAATTATGAGATCCACGACAAAGAACTTCTTGCAATTGTAGATTCTTTTCAAGAATGGCATCATTATTTAGAAGGTGCTTCTAGTCCAGTCATTGTGTATACGGATCACAAGAACCTCAAATAATTTATGTCAGCACGTGTATTAAATCGTCGCCAAGCTCGTTGGAGCATGTCTTTATCAAGATTCGAGTTCATCATCACTTATCGGCCAGGAAAACAACAAGGTTTATCCGATGCCTTGTCTAGACGTTCTTATCTTGCACCAAAAGAAGGAGATGCAGCTTTTGAGCAACAAAGAATGGTTCTCTTGAAGCCGGAACAATTTCATCTTCGAGCAATAAAATCAACATTGACTGTTGATTTAACTTTCCTTAAGCAAGTCTAGTTAAGTATGTCTTCAGACCCTCTTGTTTATGATATCAAGAACAATTCTTCTAAATCTCATGATCTCTCTAAATTTGAATTCAAGAACAACCTACTCTATTTCGAAGGACGCCTATATGTTTCAGAAGGAGAAGCTTGTTTACGTATTCTTCAAGCTCGTCACGACTTTCCAGCAACAGGATATTTCGGATATAATAAGACTTTGGAGCTGATATCTAGGGATTTTTGGTGGCCTCAAATGTGGAAGGCAGTTAAAGATTTTGTACAATCATGTGATGTTTGCTCAAGATCGAAAACTCCTCGTCATCGACCTTTTGGACTTCTTCAGCCATTACCCATTTCAGAACAACCATGGTCTTCTGTTTCTATGGACTTCATCACGGATCTTCCAATCTCAGGTTCTTATGACTCTATATTCGTAATAGTAGATCGTTTTACCAAGATGGTACATTTTGTACCATGTACAAAATCTATCACAAGGGAAGAAACAACTAAGCTCTTTCTTGACAATATCTATCGCTATCATGGATTACCCAAGGATATTATATCAGATAGAGGAACTCAATTTGTATCAAGATTTTGGCGAACTCTTTTCAAGATTCTTAAAGTGGATATAAAACTATCTTCGACATTCCATCCTCAAATTGATGGACAAACGGAGCGTGTTAATCAAGTTTTGGAGTAATATTTAAGATGTACCATTAATTACCAACAAGATGATTGGACAATTCTTTTGCCATTGGCAGAGTTTGCTTACAATAACACGGTACACTCTTCTACAAAACAAACACCTTTCTTTGCTAATTATGGTTATCATCCATGACTTGATACTTTTGACTTTTCAAAAGTTGATAATCCTGCTGCGAAAGATTTGACAATTCATTTATCAGAGCTACATGCAACGATGAAGGCAAAGCTAAAAGAGGCTCAAGAACAACAAAAGGCCAATGCGGATGTCTATCGAAAGGAACAACCATCATTCGTCTTGGGTGATAAGGTATGGCTACTTCGTCGCAATATTAAGACCACTCGTCCTTGTGACAAGTTGGACTATCGAAGGCTGGGACCATTTTCTATTTCTGCACAAATCAATCCAGTTGCATATCGTTTACATCTACCAAAGTCAATGAAAATCCATCCAGTATTCCACGTGTCTCTTCTTGAACCATACAAGACAGTGGACATACCAAGAAGATGACAAGCTCCACCTCATCCTATAGAAGTGGACAATAATGAAGAGTTTGAAGTAGAAGAAATCTTAGATTCAAGGCAACGCCGAAATAAATTAGAATATCTTGTCCATTGGCGTGGATATGGTATTAGTGAACGCATATGGGAGTCAAGAAAGAATCTTGCAAATGCAGCAAAGACGGTGGAGGCTTTTTATTGACGACATCCATCAAAATCAAGATGAAAACCTTCTTTATAAAAGAAACAACATCTAGGCAAGATAACATTCTACTTTCAATTCTTGTTCGTAGCTTCGTTGTAGTAGTGGCACTCAGGAGATGGAGAACCAACAACCAGCGGATTCAACTCAAGAGCCTTTATTTGCTGACCTGCCGGACGAGACATTATGATTGTCACAACCATCAAGACGACATAATCGAGATGAAGATCTTCAAGAACGACATGTTCTTCCTCGAATAGATGGTGAGATACAACGCGCTTGGTATCACGATTTGGGAAGGGACTCCCGATGTTTGGTGATTTTGCTAGAGGTAGGAACAACTCCTGATGGTGTTCCAAATATTATATTCGAAGGAAATTACGAAGGCCTCAACAATGATCAAATAACTGGGTGGTCTTCCCGCCCTGGTATGGACACTACCGATGGTTGAGAGGCCCTATCAATCATCTTCGAAGAGAACAGAGATCAGAGTATGTGGCGAATATAATTCGTCGCATCATAGATTTTCTCAACATATGATGACCGCTCCTCATGGAACTCGTCCCTAGAAGGGGGGGTAATGTCACGGCCATAATCATGTAACCTAATAATTACATATACTAATAGGTAGAAGTAAGTAAAAGTAGGTAAAAGTAAGTTAATTCTATAATATTTAATATGGAAGCTTCCTAGAAACTTCCTAGACGCTGCTTTGACTTCATAGGTGTCTTTAATTGACTTTTTGGATTAGAAACGTGGTCAACAAGTTGGCCATGTGCCACACATGTTGTTAGCTTGAAGATCAAGCTAACTATGTGGCCCACACGTAGAAAAACTTGCCTTATAAGTCAAGGCATGTGTCCTACAAAGTCAACACATATTGGAGGTCCTATAGAACGTCGCCACGTAGCCTCTAGTTAGATAGTATATATAGAGACAAGAGTGAAGGCTTCTTCACTCTTGTCAACTCTTTTCTTGCTTCTAGTCTAGTTTCAAGGGTCTCTAGTTTTCTTATCTTTTGGCAATAGCCATTCCGGTTTCTCTTTCAATATATATACTTATTTATATATATTTTGTTATCTCTCTTTGAGTGAAGGCTCACTTGTCTGAATTGTTTTTTCATCGAGTTCTTGTCCTTGACACTTCCAAGAGCTTGAAAACTTGTCAAGTAGCTTGTATTAACTACAAAGCTTCTCTAGAACCTTCTAGAATCTTCTACAACTTCCTAGTGTATATCCTTGACACTCTCACAGATTACAATTTATCACTTACATTTATGTGGTTGACACTTTTATACATTATTATATTATTGTTAGTGTTGTTTTAATTTTTTAATTTTTTTTGGTTTAATTGGTATGTTTTAAAATCTTTAAAATCTAAAGGCATATTAATATTTTAAATATTTTCTAAATTTTTATTATTTTTTATTTAAAACAAATATATTTAAACAATTAAAAATTCAAAGAATTTAATTTGGGTTAGTATTTTTTTTCCTCAAATTTGTTTCATATATTTTAAAAAAAAACACATTTTTTTAAGGTGTTGGTTAAAATATAAAGCTTGATTTTAATTTTACTCAAATTTTAAAAATAATACAATTGAATAACAACTTTATCAAAGTTGTATTGAATATATGTTTTGGTAATTTTGTGATGGTCTAATGGAAATATATATATATATATATATATATATATATTTTGGTTATTATTGATGATAATATGATGAAAATTGTTTGAAGAGAAAAACTTTGATATATTTACATATGCATACATGTATTCATATAATATAAATTAATGCATACCAGATTTCATAAAAAATCTAAGTTAATTTAATTTAATTCAAATCAAATCGATTTTTTGTCACATTGCCTTGGCATCAAATCATTTGGAACTAAGAAAATTTGCTCTAATTTTTTTAAGTACTATTAATCTATGTTAAGCTTATAACATTTTTAACTTGGTAGATTTAATTAAATAATTTGTTAGTATGCACATATTCATTTGAGAAAAATTTGTACATGTGTATTTTAACATACATATATACATACATATATAGAACATTCTTAATTAGATAAAATTTTAAGTTAATATTAAATTATTTTTTTGATAATAATAAGAATATGTTTATATTTCACGTTTTTTTAAAATTTGTTTAATAGATTTTATTAAATTCTTTAATCACATATAAAAATTATCAACAAACCTTGAGAATTATTAGGCACAAGTATTTAAGTAGTAATAACAAAAGCATATATATATATATATATATATATATATATATAATTTTGTTTTTTCATCTACCCAAAATGAATATTCTATATCATCCAAATTTAATTTGAATGAAAAAAGTTGTCTCTAAAACTTGAATAAAATTTGAATTAGGGGGTAATATCAAGGGGTAATAAAGTTTGAATAGCAATATTTTGGATTTAATATTTCAAATAATCCTGGAAATATCAGGGACTAAATCCCAGTTATTTGGTTTTGCAAAATTGCTATGTTTGAAACCCCCTGATATGAGCAAAAGCCCTTAAAAATAAGTAGACAAGGTTTTGTAGGGACACAAACAACTATTCCTGGAGAAACCATTACTCAAAAAACCACCCACCACTGCTCCAAAAAACACTACAACCCACCAAAAATGACCACTTGCCATATTACTGAAGGTAAAACATGTGAATCCCAAACACAACACCCCAAACTTACATAATTGATAATTGTTTTTTTTAGCACAACCCACTCCTCTCCCACTCCGTTGCAGAGAAACAAAAATAGCCGCCACAAGTTAATTGACCTTCATTCCCAGAGCCCACTAACTCTGACTTGCCAAACAACCTTTATTCTTATTCGCGGCGTTTCAACTCTTAATAAATTGAATGGGATGTTGTTGTGGAAGCCACTCAGGCCAGCTCTGCTATAACTGGAGGCAGGGCAAAGTGAGTGAATCTGGCAGTGCCATCCATCCGCTGGCCGCACAGCGCAAGGCCCTGCAGTGCGTGCACGTCAGGGCTGAGTGTGGCCCTTTGTGCTGCTGCTCTTTTCTCGATGGAGGGCTGAATTATTGCTGGACAGCTTTCCTCCTCCTCTTCCTCCTCATCAGCATCATCGCTTCCAGCCCTGAAGGAATTTCACTACTCCATTAGCGTTGATCATGCTGTTGGGGTGATCTTACTTTACGTTTTTGAGCTCCGGGACGACGCGGTCGCGGTTGCGGCGTGGGCGGGTGAGGCGTAGGGATGGGCTTTTGACGGGGTGGGGTGGTACCTCAGAGCTCAGGACGCAGGCGGAGCGTTGAAGGCGTGAGGCTTTTGTTTCTGGAGAGAATCGTTGATTGAAGTGAGAGAGAGAGAGAGAGAAAGTGAGGGTGAGTGTGAGATTGACGATGCAGGGGTGTGTGTTGGTGTGGAAGTGTGTGCCAGCGAGTTCCATGCAAACTGTGAGTGGAGGGTCGGCATTGCGGAGTAGGGGTGGACAGAGCTTGACTGATGGAATGGGAGTTGAGAGTAGGGTTGTTGCTAAGGAGCTTCAGGGGGAGTACATATGCAGCTGCCAGCACCTTGGTTTTGGCGACGTGGGTGATTTGGTTAGGGTAGGGGTCAAGAGGCATTGGCGTCAGAGATCTGTTGTATCTGCTCGAAGCTCCGGATCCGCGAGGCATGGGAAAGTAGAGCGAAAGAAAGTGGAAGAGCGTGGGGAGTGTGATGTCTCTAACGGTGACGCCAAGAGCCCGAAAGAGGGCTCCATTCCAGGTAAAGTGGTCCTCAGTTCTTACTCTCAGGATCTCGGCAATTAGTGCAATGCTGTCAGGAAAGGAGCTCTCCGTTTCATTCGCACGTTATTTTAACTAAGGTGGTGATGTTTGTGACGTTGCGCTTCGACATATGAAGTCGTCTGATGCACTGCCGTAGCTCGATAGCAGGAATTGCTTGTCCTCCTCTTCTTTGTCCTTGTATGCCGAGTGATGACCAAATCAATGTCTGCTTGCCAGGCCTGATCTTACCGCCATTGACGACGGTTGGCAAGTCGACCAACATTAGCTGGCACGAGTGCATGGTGGAACGGGTGCAGCGGCAGCGTATGTTAAACCAAAAAGGCTGTGTGATTTGGATCACTGGCCTCAGCGGCTCAGGGAAATCAACTCTGGCATGCACCTTAGATCACGCGCTCTTACAAAGAGGCAAGCTCAGCTATGTTCTAGATGGAGACAATGTCCGTCATGGCTTGAACAATAATCTTGGCTTCACCGCAGAGGATCGGGCTGAGAACATTCGCAGGGTTGGCGAAGTAGCGAAGCTGTTCGCTGACACTGGGGTCATCTGCATTGCCAGTTTCATCTCCCCTTACAAGAAGGACAGAGATGCTTGCAGGAGTCTCATGGCGCCTGGAGAGTTTATCGAGGTGTTTATGGACGTGGCGCTGGAAGTTTGCGAGCAGCGAGATCCGAAGGGATTGTACAAACTTGCCCGCGCTGGGAAAATCAAGGGCTTCACTGGCATTGACGATCCGTACGAGGATCCCCCCGAAGCTGAAATCGTTATGAGGGCTGTAGATGGGAAATATGCCTCTCCAGAGGAAATGACGGTGCAAATGTTGGAGTACTTGGAAGAGAATGGATTTCTTCGAGGTACATGATGATGAGCTCCACTCCGGTCTTTTTGCCCATTGAGTGCCTTAAAACCGCCACGATTGAGGCACCTTTCTACATCTCCAATCGTACCGAGGAATTCGCCTGTTCGAGATTGTTAGCTCCTCGCCATTGTGTGGAGATTTGGGGGCCCAGGTGACGACTGCAACAAGATGCTTTGCAGCAAGAGGGTTTGAAGTTTCTGTCGCTACATTCAAGGATCAGGTTCTCTCGTTTTCTGCCTGCAGGCGTGGTCATTGAGTTCCAAACTTTCCTGTGCAGGCCATTTTGCTCAAAGTTGGTCGCTTTGCCTGCGGCTTGCCTTGTTTATTTTTATTTACTTTTTCTTTCACGGTAGTCACTACAGAAGGATGTATTTAGCTCTAGTAAGTGAGTTAGGCTACCGCAAATATATTTCACTTTCAAGGTTGTAGACAGGAGTGACAGATTGTCTCACGGGAGGACTATTGTAAGAATTCCTGGCTGTGTGATTAAGTATGTAAAATCATTGTACATAATTCAATTGATACTATTCCGAATAGCTGAAGCTGCAACTTCTTTCACATTTTGCACGCTTTTAGCCTCAGACTGTAAATCGATCCGATCTGATATCATGAAATGGTTATTGCACGCTCTTCAATGATTCTTTATAATTTGTATTTAGTATTCTCAATATTAGTGGTAATGGTCAAATCTCATCTTTGGTGCTTCCTGAATTTCCTTGTTGCTAGATACGTCGTGTGCAGTCCGTCTTTGCTTCAATAAGATGTACCCAGCGAACAGACTTCAACAGATAGATGTTGACATCAATTAGCAATGTGTAGTGAGTGCGTGGTGGTTTGATGCTTGTTTCTGCTGTGTTGGTGAATTGGAGTAGTAGCCTTCTGCACCTGCTTGAGATACTTGAGATGATTATGTTTCACTAATAGCCTTGCGTATGGAGTCAGGAATTCCAGCTGGGGTTGTAGCTGAATGTGGAAGATGAGATTGAGAGCCTGAAGTATTTATGGAAATGTTGCATTTATACTTTGCCAATATTATTTGTTTCAAATTTAGTGGTGAAATGAAAAATTTAAGAGTGAACAAATTACATTGCAACAGAATGTAGACCTTGATCCTTAAAATGAATTCTTCTACTTCAATAAATTATTGTATTTGGTAACATGTTTTGACATAGTAGGGTTGTTTTGTAATAGGGCGTCCTTGATGCCACCAATTGTTTTTGGTACTACCATCACAATCTGTCACCCACCACATATTGCCACCAAATGTTTTACCACTGCCACCACATATTGCCACAATTTTTGTTTATGCCATCATTAAAATATTGCCACAATTTGCCACTTGCTTGATAGATTTCTTTAATTTTTTTTATTCCAATAAAAAAATTGTTAATATTTTCAATATGTTTATTTATTTCAAATTGCATAAAAAAAGAAATTTGATTTTAATGAAATAATAATTAAATAGTAAAAATTGGAATAATCTTTGGTAGATTGTACATTATGGTGGCAATAGCAAAAATTGTGGTGGTATTAGCAAACTTTATGGTGGTATTAGAAACACCCTTAAAATATGGCTTATAAATCTTCTTATATCATAATATAGGCTTAGGCTACAAGCACATTCCAAACTGCTATTCATACTTCCATTATGTCTATACACATATCCAAGGCCTCTAATTGGCTAATCCAAATCACTTTTTTCTTGTCTTAGTGTGGGTCTTGGACCTCCTTCTTCTCTTCCTTGTCTTGGCAAATATCCTACCATTTGGACAAAGAAAAAAGGAGGGGATGGGGACTTGCACCAAGACAAAGAAGAAGAGGAAGAGGAGGGGATTGAGACCTACATTGGAGCAAGAAAGAGAGGGAGGAGGTTTGGGACCCGTGCCAAGATAAGGAAAAAGAAATTTGGATCAGCCAATTAAAGACCTTAGGTGTGTATATAGAAATATATATAGACATAATGGATGTGCATACAGAAATTTGGGATGTGCTTGTAGCTAGAGCTCATAATATAATCCTTATGATATAAGAAGGTTTGGAAGCTATAAGATGAACAACAAAGGAGATGAGAAGTCTACAAATGATTTCAATTTTATCTATGCATAGACTACTTTAAAGACTTTTAGATTTAATTTTATTTAACCTTGTAGATTGTATGCTATGGAAATTTATATCTATAATACTTGTATGTATTTTATGCATAATGAAAACATTGTGAAGGTACAATATGATTCTTTTTATACATTCACATACTAAAACAAAACAAGTCATATATATATATATATATATATATATATTAATATGATTTTTTTTTGTAAAATATTTTGATTATTCTTTAATTTGTGCAACAGTCTAATACTTCTACCAATAATAATAATAGCAATGAAAATAACATAACTATTTAAGTTATTTAGATGTTTTCTTTTAAGAACAAAATATCTTTTATAAATTTTATGTTGCATGTTTCAAAAAATACATCTATATATATGTATATATATATATATATATATAATTTATTTAAAATTGAAGTGTAAATATATATGACATATTTTGGATATTATTCTAATAGTAACTATTATAATCTTTTTAATTATAATAACCTTCACAACCATTCTAATTAACTTGTTTGTATATATAATATTTATTATTTTTATAAACTCATATTTTTTAAAATCCTAAATATTTTATTAAAAATATTTACTTCTACTATTAAAATAAAATTTATTATTTTATTTTAATTTTTTTGTTACTTTTATATAATTTTTATTAAAAAAATATAAGTGTATAATAATATTTAATAATAAGAAAATAAAATTAATAATTGGTCTAAATCACAAATTCTAAAACTTCCAATCTTGTTACTATTTAATGATTCTTTCATTAGAAGCAGCCTCACTTATTTTTTGTAAGCTACAAATTAAACTTATTCTTATACCCACCTCTCTTGGGCAATTATTGAAGTTCCTAGTCTTGGTAGATTAATCCTAGCAGGTAGCTACCATTGAATAAGCTAGCATCAATGTTTAGCTTGTAAAAGAGAACAAATATATACATCTATATATATATATATATATATATATATAATTGTTTGAAGAAAATCGGCATCTGTGATTGAAAAATTCACTTGTCTTAAAAATCCCCACATTCTTTAATTGTAACATACTTTTTCAAAAAGTAAAATAATGAAAAATTTAAATTATTGAAAAATAACATCTAACTTTATTTAATGTGTCTAATAAGAAGAAGTTGTAGAATTCTAGTAAAATACTCTATATACTCTCTCTCTCTCTCTCTCTCTCTCTATATATATATATATATATATATATATATTAAACTTTTGAGATGATTTAATAAAAAGATGTAAAGGTATTGAATCAATTGACATGTACATTAGGTAGAAAAAAGTGCATCATAAATAAGTTACAACTTGTATAAACAAAAACTGTTTTACTTTTAAGTTCATTTAAAAATGAGAAGTTTTTTGATTGGATGTTTCTATTGCTGTAAGAAAGAAGAGATTTTTTTAAAACAGAGATAATTTTTTTAGCAATCACATATTATGATTGTCATAAAAATATATGAAATCATTAATCTTGAGTTTAATTGAAAACTATGACTAATATATTGTAGTAAAAATCAGATTTGAAAGTGCATTAGCTTCTAAAATAAGTTAATGATATGATAACCAAAGTATAAGTTAAAAAAGACAAATTGGAGAGGAAAATATGTGGATCAAATCACCTACCTTTTAAACTCAATTTTGCTCATACTTGGATTTTAAGAAATGAATGTATTCTAAATAACAAATCCAATATTTATAAGTAGTTTATTGTGCTTGGTTGAGATCATGGATATGATAATATACTTTGGGTATATAATTTTATACACTACCAATGCATACCATGGCAAAATGACCTCATTAAAACATGTCTATCAAGTAACTAGGTAACATATAGAAGTAAGTGCTTTGGCAATGTTAAAGTTGTATAAGAATACTATAAAGATTGTACAAGATTTGCAAGTATTTCAATTTTTTATTGCTCAGCTTTATTAGTAATATTTGGGTAAGTTGAATGGTATAAATTGTTGCTTTGGTGATAGACCAAGAGTGATTAGCATTACTAATTAAACAATATATATGCATATTGATAGTGGCTTGTATTCTATTAAATAATAATGTCTATGTAGGAATTTGGAGTTGGAGATTTAAAGGAGGGGGGGGGGGGGGGGAGGGTTTAGCCCTCTTGGTTGGGATGTGCGGTATAGGCCTGCAGTATGGAGCACTTGCAATAAATGAATAAGAATGCCAAAATACAGAATTAGGTTTAGGATGTTTGATTTGGAAGGCTAAACAAGATACAGTCTCAAGCTCACTTGGAGTTGGAGGTAAAGTATAGGGCAGATTTTGCACTGTACTAGTGTGAACTTGATGGGAGTATATTGTATTATAGGTGTAACATCAATAAAGTTGTGAGCTAGAAATTTCTCCCATAGATGTAGTTTTTGAGGAAGTGAACCACATACATATTGTGTTTGTATACATCTGATTTTTTGTTGTTATCTTTGTGATTGTGGATGTACACTTTGCTTTTTGTTACAACGTAAGTAGTCACTATTAGTGGCTTTGAGACAACATCTAAAGTATGCATCTACATGAGAGAAGAGTCCCATATTATTGTGTTTGATTTGATTGTAAGAAGGATATTATATTAATTAAGTTTGAAATCCAAAGTCACAAAACATAAACTAAAATTCATATCAAATCACATAAAGTTAAGATTTTAATTTGTAAAACATCATAAACATTAAATAGATGATAATTGAGTATATTTTTGTATTTTTTGATGAAACAAAAGTATATTAATTTTTCTTTGATAGTTACAGGTAGTACTATATTTGTAATAGAAAGTCTTTATTGATGCCATACTTTGCTAGGTTATTTTGCTAGGTTATTATGAGGTTTTGGAAAAAATAAGTATTAGAAGAGTATAAAAGACAATGAAGTTTGAAAGTGGAGGAGTGATGATGTAGCATTGTATGATTGCTGATATTAGAGCTAATAGCAAATGGACAAACTATTAAATCTATCTTAGATACTATAATCATAATAGAATTTTAGATCCAAATTGATGTTCATTTTTTTTTTTTTTTTTTAATATACTAATGTGTGATTGACTTTAATCATTGTGCAAATATACTTTATTATATTCATTTATAATTTATGATGTCATTTTTAATAAATGTATATTTTTTTACATTATTTTTTGAGTTAAACCAATGTAAATTTATATTTAGTTATGATTGTCATTGTAACAATTGAAAGTGTACCTAGATAAGCAAGAAAAAGAGACACAATCAAAGATAAGATTGCTTAAGAGATAAGGAGATAGAAAATCTATATATTACCAGTGCTAGCTATATACCAAGGCTATCTCACTTTATGGTAGCCTATCAAGACCTTTGGACTTTTATGATTTCTTTAGAGAAGTGATGCAAAGAACAGAAGTGATTTAAGACTTACAAAAGATAAGGGAGACTGTTTCCAATGACCACGTATTTATTCACTTGTTTATTAGTTATATTTATTGTA